TCTCGCTCTTGCTCAGGCTGGTTTCGAACTCCTGAGCTCAAACAATCCGCCCGCCTCGGCCTCCCAGAGTGCTAGGATTACAGGTGTGAGCCACCGCACCCGGCCTTCTATCTTCTTTTGAAAGGTTTCTGTTCATGCCCTTTGCCTACTGTTTAATGGAGTTTTTTTTTCTTGCTGATTTTCCTGAGTTCTATATAGATTCTACTTATCAGCTCTTTGTCGGATGTGCAGCATGCCAATATTTTCTTCCATTCTGTAGGTTGTCTATTCGCTCTAATGATAGTTTCCTTGGCTGTGCAGAAGCTTTTTAATTTGATCAGGTCCCATTTAGTTATTTTTGTTGTTGCTGTGATTGCCTGCCTACAATTTTAGTACATGTGCTGCTGAAGTGAGCATGATATAACTGCCTACAAGGAGACCTGGACTAGAATCCAAAAGTTGGCTTCACCTTCAACTATTACCAGCTTTCTGCATTTATTGGCCAGGTTATTTCAGGTTTCCATTTTTATTATTTAAATGATTATGATACCACACAGCCACACTAACCATAGTGGGGAGGTGTGAAGGTCAAATAAGCTGATGTATCTAAAAAATACTAAATACCAATAGGTCCATGTTACTATGTAATAAAATCTTATCACCAAATCTATAATGCATAGTTACAAAGACAGATTCAGATATGCAAGTTAAACTTGGCAGCCAGATTGTCAATGCAACCTTTTACTTCAGAGCGTAAGCCTATATTCATCCCCAGTCAGTCGACTTCAGTACTGCAGAGCACAGACAGAAAAAAGCACTATAGGGCATGGCTAAAAACATAGGCTAGGTTTCAAACCCTAGCTTTACTTTTCTAGTTCTGCAACTATGGGCACATTTTTAGACTTCTCTGTGCCTCAGTTTTCTTATCTGTATGGAGCTACAACACTACCTATCCCATAAAGCTGCTGTGAAGAAAAAACAAGTTAATATGCACAAAATATTCAGAAAAATACCTGACACCTTCAATAATGGTTAGTTACAATCATTAACCATCATAACTCAGAATCAAGCTCAGATTATTTTGGGGTTCACTGAAAAATAAATGCCTTATAAACCTTCTATTCCCAACAAACTTAGATTTCAGATTGGAAATAGATACTGAGCAAAATTTTGTTTACTAAATGACGCTATACCTGAGGTCTATCAGACACATATTTTGCGCAATGGCGAATAAGTCGAATTGCTTCCATACTTGTGTCTGGGAAAGCAGCATTGCATGCAAATTCAGACAAACACTTCACTGCATCCTGGAAGGAATCAATGGTCGCTGGAAAGTGTTTTTCAAATACAAGGGCTAAAATAGAGAAGAATACATCAAAATAACTGTAATTTTTCAATTATTCTTAAAAATACATCATTGAAAAATACATCAACCTCTAGATGCAATACATACTTCTTAAAGGTTATTAAAGGCTTTGACATCCAACATATATGGGGTTCAAGTCTGTCTCTACCACTAACTTGTCTGCTGTGAGTAGTGACAACAGGGAAACATGTCTGTTTCGTTTATACTTTAAACATAGCACCTAATACAGTGACTGGTACACAGTAGGTACTGAATCAATTTTGTTCAATGAATATACAAAATTACTTAACCTCTGTATTTAGTTTCTTACATAGTTTATTTAGTTTCTGTATAGTTTCTTAATCTATAAAATGGGGATAATAATACAAGACAGCTCTATGTACTACATTAAAATAATGTCAGTAAAATGCTTATTATAATACTTAACTCAAACGAGCACTTGATAAATGATAGCTACAATAATGTCATGATTCTTGACAATGATGGTCATCATTATCATCTTCTATATAGGCTTAACTTATATCCTTAGTATTTTGGTCCCCCTCAAAGTTGAAGGAGGCTGTACAGTGTAGTGATCAAAAACAAAGGCTTTGCTTTAACACTCCATGGCTTTGAATACCAGCTCCATCTCTTACTAGTTCTGTGACCTTTAGGCAAATTGCTTAACCTCTCTGGGCCTGAGTTTCCTAATCTATAAAAAAAGGGACAATAAAGATACTTACCTCACAGAATTGTGAAGATTAAATACACAAAAAGTGCTTACAGAGTTTACCATATTGAAAATACTCAATAAATGTTAAATATATTAATAGCTTAATTATTAATATATACTCTGGTTCTGTAGACAAAACTTGGTAAACTTAAAGCCCGTAACAGGCCAATAATTTTGTACCTGAATTATCCTCTGAACACATTAAAATTTTTTGGTTTTTTTGCTTGAATATAAATAAGAGAATACTCACTGACAATGTGCCCAGTTGTTTGGAATGCAAGTTCCACTATGCTTTCATCTTGATCGGATGCAGCTAGATGAAATACAGAGAAAATGTTCTTCCATCCAGATCGAATGTTAGCAGCTTGAGAATTAACCATCTGTGCTATACACCGTACAACCATATCTCGAATTGTTGGAGACCTAAAATATTAATATAATTGCTTATATATATACAGATAAAACTCATCAGTTTTTTCCCCTTTCTTCTGTTTTTCCCCCTGCTATGGAAAACAATTAAGATTTTTCTGCTATTAACCAATTCAACATATGTAATACCTGTTCCGTTTCATTATATGTTCAAAAGGTCTTAAGAAATCCTTCTGGAACCTGAAATTAGCAAGCTCCCCTTTCTCTAAGAACTTCATTGACAACTGCCTCAAGGAGTCTACTGCAAAAATAGCCACATCTTCATTAGGATTACAGCCAACCTGTAATAGCAACAGAAATACAAGATGGTAATGTCAGCAGTAAAAATCTACAATTCTTTATTTTTGTTTCAGAAAAAGTAATAGCATAGATAGTACATCCTAATTAATAGCACAGATAGGTAAATCCTAAGATTCTCCACAAAGGCAATTTGTATGCTAAAAATATTTCTCAACAAGAAAAATAGCTATTTTAACTAAATATTTAAAACTGAGAGTGATCATTT